TAAAAGAATCAGCATCATTTTCACTGATTCCAAAATCGTAGAAACAAGGTAATTGATTATCAGTAGAAAATGATCACTGTCATATATTTATGTAATAGAACATAGTGGTGAAGAGGAATAGATCAGAGCTGCATGTACTGAAATGTGTGAACTTCACAAACTAATATTCTGGGGGGGGGAAGAAAAACTTTGTCACTGGAAAATACAAGTAATATATATATGTGTGTGTATGTGTAATGCAATGATGAAAATATTTTAAGAATGCATGCATAAGTGGTAGAGTTATAAAATGGAAGTCATCAAAATTTATTTCATGGTAATATTGACCCTTCTGGAGCTCCCTAAGGAAAAGGGACATGTGATTCAGAAAAACTAAACAGCAAGGATTTTACTTATGTTGGTAATAATTAGCTGTTTCTTTGACTAGGTTTTGGATAAAAGTACTTAAACAATCTTTATATGTATATGTTTTTAATACTTTTTGAAAAAGCAAGAATATGTGATAGGGATTATGGGTAAGGGAAGGATAAATGAGACAAAAATATATATGGGATGAAGAGTAGTGGAATTCATCTCTTTTAATGTGGAGTTACTGGGTACAAGACACTGGACTAGGCCCTGGGGTTGGCAGAGAGCCACAGGTCTGCAGATACAAGGATGCATGTAACATTTCCAGAACTTTACATTTCATGTAGCTACTTTATTTGATGGAGGAAGAATGGCTACTCCTCCAATTACAAACAGGGTACAGGTCCCAGGGGGCTAGTGGGGAGACTTACTTCTGAAAGGATCCTATGAGGATTGGAAATGCCAGTCTCCACAGGCCTTGCTTCAAGAAAAGCCTCCTAGTCTGGCTTGGTCCTTTCCCTCTGTTTCTGCTTCTGTTCCTCCTCTCCTCCAGGACACTCACAAGATACTTTCCACAGTGAATTCTTAATGACTAGCATAGGGTAAAATGAAAGAAGTCATAATGTATATTAGTCCTTTTTCCCACTGCTAATAAAGACATACCTGACACTACATAATTTATCAAGAAAAAGTGGTTTAATGGACTCACAGTTTCACATGTCTGGGGAGGCCTCACAATCATGGCAGAAGGCAAGGAGGAGTGAGTCATATCTTACATGGCAGCAGAGAAAAGAGAGAAAGCTTGTTCATGGAAAGTTCCCTTTATAAAACTATCAGATCTCATGAGAATTATTCACTATCATGAGAACAGCACAGGAAAGACCTGCCCCTGTGATCTAATTACCTCCCACTGGGTCCTCCCCATGATATGTGGGAATTGTGGGAGCTACAATTCAATATGAGATTTAGGTGGGAACACAGCCAAACCATACCACAGTGTGTATTTGTATTTTTATTTCCTGAAAGCAACTTGTTTTGTTTTATTTTAAACTTGGTATTTTTGTTGGTTGATTGGTTGGGCCCATGGCAATTCTAAATCAGGAATTTCTGAATTTAGAGTTTAGTTGACAATTTTGAAGCTCTTGTTTTCCTTGTGGAAATTTTGAGTCTTTCAGTAATACTATTCTTCAAGGCCTTGAAGATATTGAAAGACATCTAAGGTTAGAGTTATATAGAAAGAAAGAATGATCGTGTCACATTTGAGGAAGACACACTAGAGACAAGCAGCTGTATCCATTTTTAATCTTTGTTTGGTTTTCTTTAAATTACTGCTAAATAGTACCAACAGAAATCTTTAAAATATATTTTTGAGCCTCTTTGAAGATTTTTATATAATAGAATAAAATTTTTCAGTTAATGTGTTTGACCAATGTAATGTAGAAAATACAAAGACCAGTAGTTAAATTATTGAGTTCTCTCTCCTTGTCAGCCAAAGATCACTTTGGCTATTGATTAAGACTGCAACAAATGTGAATGTTAAAAAAAAAAGTGATAGAGCCATTTCCAAGAGAAACAAGAAATTGGCTTCATGGTTTCCTTGTTGGTGATGGTGCTGTTCTTTTTAGGAATGCATATAGAACATTTAAAAAAACTAGAGAAAATATTTGCACATATATTTAATACTTTAATCTTTTAATGGAACCTATTTTTTTTGCTTACGTCTTTTCTTTTTTTCTTACAAATTATCTTTCTTTATTCTATCCTGGACTTCTCTTTATTGATAGTGAATTTGTTGGCATAAACTTTCTCAGAGATTTTCCTAAGGAAGCATTTGGTCTTGGTACTTTAGTTAGCAAGTTAGTGTTTAAGATGACTAAGAAAATATAGCCCTACCTGTATAATCCCATCTCCCATAATCTACTTGCTAAGGACTCAGAGCTCCTTACCCAGAATCGACTAGACACATTGCTGTCCTGCAACTCTGGCAGCATCATTGGTGGAAATAAGACTAAAAGGGGCGTTGGTTGCTCCTCTGAGCAACTGAATCCTGCCATGACCTAGCTTAGAGGACATGTGATGTTACATGAAAACCAATAAGTAACACAATGCATATTGGAATGTAATAAAATCAGTTTCATAAAGTCTTATATGTTAACTTTAAGCACAAATATCCCTAATAATTGACCATATCCCCAAGAACATATCTGGTGTCATTTTCTATTTACAGAAAAAAGCAATGTTTGTAAATATAATATATTCAAAATTACTTTCTGATTTGAATATTTACTATCAATGCATCACTAATTGCTTGTAATTTTGCCTTCTGTCATTATGCTAATAAGATGAATAAAGTGTAGTCTGCAGTATTAATTTTTATATCTATTTTTCAGTTGGATGACTATGCATTTATTTATGGCTTAGATGCATCTCATCTATTCTAGGTGCATAAATATTTTCTTGTTTGCTTATTTGCCTTTGTTTATTTACATTTAATGAATTAAGATTTTACCTCACTTTACCATATCCAGACATCACTTCATTTATTTTTCTAGTAGTTTATATGTCATGCAATATAGCATTTTTATGTTAATAAAGAATCTTTCCTGCAATGACATTATTTTGTCAAGAAAGTCTTGCTATTATGTGTGTGTGGGTGTGTGTATTTAATGTGATCTAATATATTTCTACGCCATTAAAGTCAGTGATATATTTTGAGAATCAATTATGTTCAGCAACTGAGTATATTTGAAGGAAGCAATGTAGTGTAAATATTGAGATTTTATGTGTAAAATATCTATAATATCTTTCAGGCAGTTCAGGGTTACTGTATGCCTGAGTCCCTCAGAAGAAGTCACATGTATGAATGCGTGGCCTCTGGCACAGTTTTTTGAACGTCACCAAATAGTTGGATTACTGTGGCTCATTGTCTTTTATGGCACAAAACAGGAAGATTAGGCTATGATTAGAAGAAATCGCACTCAAGTGAATACAAGCTGTTGTAATAATGTTTTCAAGATGAAATGCAACAACTAAGACCAAGAACAATAAGTGTTCAGTGGTTTCCATATTTTCTTTAAATTCTATAAGGAAGGTTTTTATTATAACAATCTTAAGAAGCATGAATTATATTTTAAAAATCTGTTATTTTGAACTTGACAGCCTACAAGTTTAACATAAGTTTAATCTTACTTAGCATAGCCATAATTGGAGCTTTTCAAATTTTTGGTGTGATCTTGGAAGCATGTAATTTCAGAATATAAAAAAACTTATATTTTATATTATCTTAGGAATTATCTTATATATCCTTATATATTATATATATTATCTTCTATATTATGTATTTTCTTACTATGGTTTTAAATTATTTTTTTCTCTTGTTTAATGCTCCTCAGAAGCTATGATGTGAGGGAGGAGTGATTTTTTTGCAGCCTATTGGCTAGCACGGAAAGCAGTGCTGAGGTGGGGTTAGGGACCAAAGAAAGGACAAAAGCTTAAGTGAAGAATTCATTCACCTATTTAATGTTCATCTGCTAGTGCTACTAGAAAGCAGATACAGCTCTAAATTGAAGGATATTTTGGAATATAAAGATGATCTCCTGCTTTGAGTTCACACTAATAAATAGTGTGAATACATAAAGATAAATGAAAAGAACTCTGCACAACATGTGTGATTCCTACTTCCCTGACTCAGCCGGGTTCTATCTGATAAAAGCTTTTGATATAAATAGAAGACGAGGAGTGTTTCATATCTTAATAGGATGGGGAACCATGGATCCATATGCCAAATGTGTGTTATGCCAAAAGAAAAATAAATTGATATTATGGGAAGATCAATGTCCCCTGTCCATTGTCTCAAATTTCTTCTTCCTCAGTTAATATTCATCTTCAGTGCCAGTTGGGTTTTCTTCCGAAGCCTAATACTCAAACTAACTGTGTTTTCCAAATATGGAAGCTCGATTTCAGTTTTGCATATAGATTAGTTTGTAGAGTTGGCTGATAAGTTGATTTTGTAATTACTTTTATTTAATATAATTTTTTAATCAGGAAAATTATTGATTGGGAGATACATTAGGGAGCACTAAGAACTATATATATATAATTTAAAGATGTACTATAAATGGATTCAAACTCAGTTATATTAAAGGGTAGGAAACAACAATATTAGAATCTATGAAATGTAGAGTAACTAAAGGTTCATAATTTAATAATGCTTACCAAGTCCCCTGTGATGTAGCAAGCATGGTACTATTGTCTGCACTGCAAAGGGGAAGCATGAGACTCATTCAGTCCACAAGCACCTATTAAATATCCAGTAGGTGCCAGGTATGATGCCAAGTTTTCAGCCTGCAAAGAGAACAAAGCAAACATTGTCTCTTTTTGTGGGATAGGTGAAGTGCTCCTACCTGGCCAAACTCACACACTATGTCAGACATCTAGAGCTCACATATATGCCTAACCAGTCTAGCACAGAAACATGTTACCAAATTAGCCTCCTGAAAATGGTAACAATTTAAAAATACTAACTCTGATGCAAAACATACAGCAGAGATAAATTAAATAATATATGCATTTCTAAACTTTTTCCAAATAAAATACATGTTAATAGTTTCCTGCACAGCAGTTTCATTTTTAAACCTTTCCTCTGACCATAGGAGCTGATGCTGTGGAAGCTCAGTGTAAAAGATTTGAAGTGAGAGCCAGTGAAGATGGCAGGGTGCTGTTTTCTGCAGATGAAGATGAGATTACCATTGGGGCTGAAAAGCTGAAAGTTACAGGTATGGTTGATGGAGGTCTTGCAAAATTGTTTACTTTTTGAAAGAATATACAACTGCACAAAAAGCTACTTAATAAGATAGAAGATTCCTATGCCTAAAATAGAGTCTTACATAATTACAATGTTTGTTTTTCAAATAGTCTTCAATGGAAGGCACCAGCTGTGGTTGTAAAAGAGAATGTAGATACTAACAGCCTTAACGGCTAAAGATAAAACTCTCAGGTGGAAGTAGGTGGAAGAAAGTGATGTGGGTGGGAGGGGTAGAAATGATGTGCAAATTCTGAGTAAAAAGGGCTAACAAATACTAATTTGGGTGTATTACTTTAAAATAGAAGACTTATGAACTAAAAAGGAGTCACATCTTACATGGCAGCGGGGAAGAGAACTTGTGTAGGGAAACTCCCGTTTATAAAATGATCAGATCTTTTGAGACTTATTCACTATCATGGGAACAGCACAACAAAGACCTTCCCCCACAATCCAATTACCTCCCACTGGGTCCTTCCCATGATATGTGAGAATTATGAGAGCTACAATTCAATATGAGGTTTGGGTGGGGACACAACCAAACCCTATCATAAAAACAATGGATTTTTTTTTTCCTTTTTTTGAAAAGGAGTTTCACTCTTGTTACCCAGGATGGAGTGCAGTGGGGTGATGTCGGCTCACTGCAACCTCCGCCTCCCAGGTTCAAGCAATTCTCCTGCCTCAGCCTTCTGAGAAGCTGGGATTACAGGCGCATACCACCATACCCAGCCAGTTTTGTATTTTTAGTAGAAACGGGGTTTCACCATGTTGGTCAGGCTGGTCACAAACTCCTAACTTCAGGTGATCCACCCACCTTGGCTTCCCAAAGCACTGGGATTACAGGCATGAAGCAGCAAAAATGGAAATTTTAACTTTAGAATGAAGTAAGGGAGAAATTTATAATAAAAGTAAATAAATTCATTTTATATAGAGTTCATAATTATACTCAAAGGTATGTAAGTAAAAAACTAATGCTATGCACATATTATTTAAGAGTCATTTTATAATATTCAGGTCATTAAAGTCAACCACTAGTTTAAATTAAAATTTTTATAAAGTTAGAAGTGGGACCAAGAGTGGGGAATAATTTGATGACAATTTTAAGTACAATCTCTTGTGAATTACTTGATTCACAATCATGACAAATTTTATTTTGATAACATATTTAACAATCCCTTGAAAGTACCCCAAGAGGTCTAGATTTTAAAAACCAAGAAGAAAATAATAAAGTATATTTGACTTAGTGTTTCTCAAACTTGAGTTTGGAAATAGAGCATGGGGTATCTCTCCATATTTATTTGGGTTATACAGTCCCATGGGCCATGTTCTCACATGGCAGTGAGCATGGCAATTGAAGAACATCAACTCTGTTCTCTGGCTGTTTGGGTTGAATTCTGGCTCTGCCTTTGAATATATTCAACTCTTGATGCCTCTGATTTTCCCTCATCTGAATGATTGAAATGATAATAATATTAGTGTTCAAATTAAATGCATGTGTATGCATTTGTGTGAATGAGAATGTGCTCAGTACATAATGAAGAGGTTGTGTTGGCTCTTTATATTTATTAATGATGATAATATTACAAACGTGGCTGACAAGAGGGCCTTTGTTGATTTCAAGAAAGGTGTATTAAACTAATGCAGAAACAGAAAGCCAAATGCCACATGTTCTCTTTTATAAGTGGGAGCTATAAATGATGAGAACACATGAACACACACGGGGAACAACACACACGGGGGCCTGTCAGAGGGTGGAGGACCGGAGGAGCGAGAGGATCAGGAAAAATAACTAGCAGGTACTAGATTTAATACATGGGTAACAAAATAATCTGTACAATGAACTCCCATAGCCCAAGTGGTAAACTTGTGGTAAACAAGTGGAGTTCATTGTACAGATTATTTTGTAACAAACTTGGACATATACCCCTTAATTTAAAATAGAAGTTAAGAAAAAAAAGGTGTATTGGCTGGACATAGTGGCTCACGCCTATAATCCCAGCATTTTGGGAGAGAGGTGAGAGGATTGCTTGGTTCAGTACCGGCCTGGGCAATATAGTGAGACCTTGTGTCTATAAAAATGTTTTAACAATGTGGCATGATGGTGTGTGTATGTAGTCCCAGCTACTCAGGAGGCTGACGTGGGAGAATAACTTGAGCCCAGGAAGTCAAGGCTGGAGTGAGCCAAGATCATGCCAGTGCAGGCTAGTACGAGTGACAGAGCCAGATTCTGTCTCAAATATAAAATAAAATAAAAAGATTTGTTGTGAAATGGTGATGAAACTCAGCAGGGATTATTGAATGGGGGTCCTCACTGGGTATCCCCTGGCCTGAATCAAATACCATCACCTTTACCCCAACCTCTGTCCCTCCTTTCTCTTGGGAGCGTGTTCTGCTGAGAGGGTGGAGCCTCCACCATTGGGTGAGTGTTTAGGGTGGTCCCCATGAATATTTACCTGCATGATGTTCATTTTTCTTAAGACTTCTTTAGCATGTGAGGACAGGAGGCATCTATGAAGAGTACTGATCGACCTTCTTGAGTCCTGAGTTAGGAAAGCAGGGACAAAAAGAGAAAGAGAGAGTTCTGTTTGCCACAGAACATAGACAAATCAGAAAGGATATTGGTTTTAGGCCCCTGAGCACTACCATTTGAATTGCTCCTTGGTGAGTAAGTGAGGTGCTGTAGGGTAGAAATGCCCTCAGGGGACCTGGACAATATTAATAATCTTTGAACCTTAGTAATGCCTACTGGTCATCACTATTGAACATGACCAACATACTCCTGAGATAAATTTTAGGATATTACACACTTATCAAAATTTATTTTATCCATATTTGGGTATTCTCATTGGGTAGTTTATAATCATAAGAAGGAAGATTCTAGAGCTCCTGGCAGATTTTACTATCTCATGAAATTTTCACTTCTTCTGATGTTTCTATTACCTTTACCTGTCTCATAATAGTTTCAGGGAAATAAGGGTGGGTAGTCACATTCATTTTCTTTTTTTGCTTGGTAGCCTAGATGCCATCCTTGAATTATTGCTTGGACTAAGTACTTCCTTAGCCCAAATAGGTGAGAAAGTGTGTTCTGAAAAATCTGTTTTTCTGCTTTTTAATTAAGTGCTTTAAGGCAGTTGTCTATTCTTTCTCCCTTTCTTGTTCTATCTCTTTTATGTTTGTCTCTCTCCCTTCTTCCTATTGCTTCTCCTCCTTTTGCACCCCATGTGTGTGTAAAATATGTCTGTATGTGTGTGATGTGTGCATGAGATTTATGTCACTGTATATATAAATGGATAAATGTTTCACGCTGCTCTTTTTTCATTTTTTTCTCTCTCTCAAACATATGCACATAGTCTTGCATTTATTCTTTATAATATTCTTGATTTATCTATATTTTCCAGTTATCTCAGATACCACTAACTAATTAGAAGTCTGTGTCATATGCTTTCAGAAGATCTTAAGTAATAAAATTATAAGCAGATTATTATAGAGGGTTGAAACATAACACTTAGAATGAAAGAAACACCAACAATCTATGAGAGTACCTGCAGCAAACAATTTCAACTTTTAACCTGATACGGATGTACAAGAGGCTAAACATTGTTAACAAATAAATGCTAAATTAGAGAGTATTTCATTTGATTAGAACTCTCCTCACTATCCAATCACATTTCTGTGTCTCATAGAAGAGCCCATTTGCCACTCACACACCCTAGAGACACAAACATACACATAGGTACATACACATACTAATTCTTGCCAGCCTTTACTCCTTTACCAGAATAGCAGGTATTAACTTTATAGCAGCTTCATTCATTCCTAAGATACTCCTTAAAGAAAGAGAAATAAAAATATTAAAGGCAAATATAATTTAGAATTTCACATGCTTAGAGGGAAAAAATGTGCGTAGCATAGCATAGCATAGCATAGCATAGCATAGCATAGCATGCAGTTTTAGGGCATTGAGATTGATTAGTAACCTCATATATACTTTAAAGAAGTGTTCGAATCATTTGACAAATAACAGTACAAAAAGACATTAACTCCAGGGTGCTCCATATAAATTAGATAGCTGTGCTGACAGGACTTCAGAGTTACATGTGGTGAAAGGTGTGTGTGTGTGAAGTTTATTCTAGAATTTCAAATTTGTGGCACAAACATTTTCCATTAAAGCAATATTTATTGGAATTAAAATGGATCCCTTTCAGCTTTATATTTTTTGAGCAATGCCATTTTATACAGGAAGTTGACTTTCAGAATGATGACAGTGAATGGACTCATTTACACAATGGGTGTGTCTGTACATCTGAGGCAAAAATCAATTATGACCATAATCATTCACAGATCTAGGGTAGCTCATGATGTTTAAATCCACTCTACCTACAAAGCTGCAGGAATTGACCTGATACATTCCAGTACTCATGGGTGCAGGGGGACAAAAGTAAAATGGTGAACACATACCTGAACATGACCACCTACCAATACCCCATCACCATAAAGAGCAGTCACATGCTTCATATTTGTAATCGGTTACTCTTGACATTACTTGTCTTGTGCAGTAGAAGTTTGCTTTAATCTTAGTATAATTTTCCTTATTTGACCTTAAGATGCTCTCTCTGTATCACTGAATATATAGGTGGTTTAACTTTAGCTCACCTATGCATAATTGAAAACTTTATTTTTATTTTGTATTCCCTACTATTGGCCAAAGGTATGACTTAATTTAATTATCTTTTGAGACCTAGTCAACAACAACAACAAAAAAGGAATAAACCTTTACACACAGAAGTCTGTTAAATTTAGTGCTTTCAGGCAGAATCAATCAACTGCAATCTGTGGTTTCATTCGTATTCCACGTAGTATATTAACTTTAGAAAACAAATTTCACGAATAAGCCACTCTGCTGTAAAAAGTGAAAGACTTTAGCCCTGTAGAATACTTTCATGATAAATTAAAAGCTATAAGTTAGACTTAGAG